ATAAAACTAAATTTAATATTATAACCGTATTTTTATTTTTGTCTAAAACAACTATGAACGTATGTATTTGTTCCTGTGTCCCTCCAATCTGTATAGTGATTTGTATAGGCCCACGATCGCATCTGGTCTAGACTATTGTACTCAACGCCACAGATATGCAGTAATATCTGCCATTTTCCATACAAAATTCATACAAAATATAAAAATAAGCTAAAATGGATCGATAAGTATAAGTGTGTACGTAATATAATATTAACTTAATCTTTTCCATCTTTTAACACAGTACTATAAATAACAATGGTTCTAAGTTTCGCTTATTGTAATATATCAAACCTTTAATGGTTCGTCGAAAAATCTGTCGGAAAGAAATGCATATATTAAGACCGTTCGTTTAAACATAGTATATATATTAAGATCCTTTGAGAGTTGCTCAAATTTTAAACTTCTGCTAGAGACATTGTTCTTGTGGTTATTGTAACCAAATGGAGATCTTAAGGCAAGCACACAAAAGGAATCTACTGTTCTTGTCATGTTCATCATATTGACTTAGATAGACTTCTACTATTTAATAATTAAAAATATTTAATAAATATTTTTTATTTAGGCTGGTGTAAATATTGAATATATTTTCTGTTTAGTTATAATCCAGTTTGTTAGTTCAGCAAACTTAATGTGTTAGACGCTATTAATCGACTTAAACCCATTTAGAATACAAATCATATAATCGTATTTTGTGATTCTTATTAACCACATAAGAAAAATTTTTACATTAGTGATAAAAATACTGGTATTTTTAATATAAAGAAAAACTTTAGATTTATTTTATTTTTAATATTCCAAACTGAACACATATTCAGTTTTAATTTCATAATCTCATAGAGACTTTGATAGTCGCAAAGATAAAAGCAAAAATAGCTTATAACAACTTATAAGCATTTTTCATAATTAATAAATTCAAATATTTAATATAATAAGTATAAAATAAAAGGTTTCATAATTTTTTAATTTTGATATTTTTAAAAAATGATTAAAGCTTAACGAAACTAATAAAGCAATTGTAACAAAATCTTATAATTATAATATTATTAATTAAGCATTTAAAGTTAACAAAAAAATATAAATAAACAAATTGATAAATTACAAATGCATTTTCTTTTTAGGCTGATATTTATATTTCTTAACTGGCGAAATCTCACTATCCGCACTGGATTGTTCAGATTTTGGCTTAGCTTTAATTTTTGCTGTTTTCTCAGCTGATGGACAAATATCTCTATTTAAACAATTAGCACAATTAGGACGAACTGGTGTGCAAACCGTTTGTCCAAAACCAACCAATAAATGATTCACTTCTTGCCACAAATCACGTGGCAGCCATGATTCTAATAACAAACGGGTTTGTTCTGGCTGTTTTGTTTCATTTTGTACCCAACGCAAGCGGTTTGAAATGCGATGAACATGTACATCAACTCCAATGCCTGTTACTTGTTGCCAAGCAGTAGCCATGCAAATATGTGCCATTTTTGGTCCCACACCAGGTAACGCAACCAAGTCCTTAATGTTGTTTGGTATGTCAGAATCATACTTGTCAATAAGTATGCGTGCTGTTTGTTGTAAATACTTGGATTTATTCTAGAATTTAAGAGAAGCATTAAATAAATATTAAAAAATCATAATGAATAAATAAGTACTTTGTAAAATGAAACTGGATGCACTAATTGTTCCAACTTAGTAGTTTCCATTGCTACAATCGATTCCGGAGTCAGACCAGTATTTTTTAAACGTTGCATAGCATCAAATGTAGTCTCATCTTTAGTTTGACTGGAAAGCATCAACGCAACAAGTTTTTGAAAACGTTGTGTCTATAAGAGGATTAAAATTAATTTTAGTGATTTAATTTAATGCTTTTTAAAGACTAACAGTTATTTTTGGTATACGATTATACCATATATGTTATTTATTCTTGAATCGACAGAACGGCTTACATTAGTATTACCGAATCAATTGACTAATTCTTTCCTTTGTATAAATCCTCGGTCAACGATCTTTTACAGAAAGGAAAGTTCTAGTTCAATGAATCCTAAATAAATCGAACTTACAATGGATCTTTAATTAATCGCATTGATTGTTTACATTTACATTTTTTTTACTTAAAAAAATAATAACAGCTTTAACTACATATAAAGTCTTCTAATAATTACCTTTTCATCTGCATCATCATCTGAACACTTATGGCATCCCATAGTATCAACAGGTGCTGATGCCACATTGCGCATTTTACGTATATTGTCCAAGCATAATTCCCAATTGTCAGGTTCCCACGCTAGCTTAACAGTTTCGCGTGCTTTAGAAACGTTTTCCAATCCTTGTTCTATATTCGTATTAATCTTTGACTCCGACTTTAGTTCAGTTTTTGGTTTTGACTTTTGAGTAACAAATTTTGTTTCCACCTTTTGTGCAGACTTTATTTCATTATTTGTTTTCGACTTTGATTTTACCTTTGGTTCTAAATTTGTCTCCTCCTTTGGTTGTGTTTTCTTTGTTTGATTATTTTGACGTTGACGTCGAGTTTGTAAAGGTGAAAAATATAGAGACTTCGTTGAGGTTGTAGCAAAATCCTCAATGTCCTTTCATTGAACACAAGTAATAATTTTCAATAAATATCAACAAACGAATTTATTTTTACTTACTACAACATCATTAATTGTGGTTTCATTCTGTTTTTTGAAGTTCTTTGATAAAGTGTCTTTTATCAAATTTTTCTTACTCATTTTTCTAAATGTAATTGTTAAATATTTTAACATAAATTGCTGGGATGTACATTAACAAAAGATTTAAAAGTGTATGAAATTTCTTTGTGGCGGCACTAAACATATGATTGTGGAACTTAAGTGTGATGAGAAACCAGGTATGTTATGTGGAATTCAATAGACAAATTTCAAAATTTGTCAAAATGTCAAAATTTGAAAACATATTAAAGTTTAAAAATTTAAATTTATGTGTTCAATTTATTTGTATAAAATAAATATAACAAAACAATTTGTATGTAATATTAAAAATTATATTTAAATATTTAGTAGTAAAATTCCAGAAAACTATTACAGCTATTTACTGAATACCGAGTAAGGTAAACGATCCTATTTCCTTAACAATGACCCACTCTATGGCATAGATCGTTATTTAAAATAACAACAGAAATCTAGATGTACCTAATTTTTCTATTAATCTGTTTCAATATAAACAACTTGTAGTTTTATACTTCTTGATCTCTTTCATCTGTGCAGTTGTGGCACAATATGCCATCGTCCCACTGAGCATACAAAAATATGACTGAATTTGTATCGGTGTCACTGTCTCAAAATTGTTATACCATATGATTATATATAATTTCTTAATCCCCTTTCAACCCTTTTGCATCTACATTACTTTTTGCCAATCTATTCTATTAATCCTCATTTAATACTATTAATACCAGACTAACATGAAAAGTATAAAAAAAATAAATAATTCAAAGATTTAACCACGAAGCTAAATGTTATGTATTATCAAAGGGGTCAGTTTCAGATATATGATCCACTTGCTTTTGCTTCGTAATGCTTTTATTCCAGTTGGAACAGTACTGGATTGCAACAAAAAATTTTTATTAATTTTTGAATAATTATATTTTTGTCTTACCATACAGCTGTTTCGACTATTGCCAAATACCTATTGTCAGGAATCTTGGAATTATTTCTTATATTTAATTGTTCGTAACTAATTTTTTGAGACTGCAAGTACCAAAGGTTTAACTCTTATCCTGCAAAATTGGAAAGTGTTCATTAGCCAATTGACCCAAAGCCGTTGTATGTTGGAACTTGGAGTTTTGTTAATTTGTTTTGAAAGTTCATTGACAAATTCACTTGTTGTGTTATATTAAAACAAAATCATAAACCACCTGTAGAATAATAATAATAGTTATTTTAATTGTTAAATTTCAATACTATTTTTTTGTAGAGGCATTATCATAATATCATGTTATATATTTTTTTTCTTGTGTATATTATAGAACCCAATCTAAGAATGTGATGCGTAGAAAATCATGTTAATGTTACTCTACGATTCTTACAAGCAAGACTGGAAATTGAATATATTTTCTTATTCATATACGCTTCTATTATAATTCTATATTAAATTTAATTTTATATTATTTGATTTAATAAGATCTATTAAGCAAATTAGTCTCTACTATCATAACAGACGTTAAAATCAAATTTAATATAAAATTACTTTTTCAATTTCGTTCTTCGTTAAGCCTTTGATATAGCAAAAAAAGAAATATGGAATGCTAAAAACATTTAACATCTGTTAACATTTAAATATATATGAACATATATAAATGAATGTATATGTATATATATTTGTATCTTTATTATTATTCACATCAAAGTCAAATTCTTTTTATAATTAAAAAGTTTACACAAAAATCTGTTAATACAATAAATAGATATTCCATAAACATGTACTGATACTCAACATTTTTTCACTTAAAAACTAAAATTGCACACTAAAATGCAACGACCAGATTGATAACAAATTTCAAATATACTTTTTATCTCAATTACGAAAATACATATAAAAGAAAATTAATTTGTTAACAAATGAATAATCAACAATTTCAAAATTGTAAACTTAAAAATACAGTCAAGTCAAATCGGTGCCCATAGGCCCTTCAAAAAATCTCTTAACAATACACAAAATTAACGATTATGTTTATAAAAATATTGCACTAACTATACAGTAATCATAATTCAATATTTGATATTAAACATCATTTATTGTCTCGGAAGACGAAAAAATATAAATATGTATATATGTATATATATATGAATATGTCTATATGTTTGTAAAATATAGTAACTACGTACATCTATGCTGTTTGGATTTTGTCTGGTTTCAATACATCGGAATGTTGTACCTAACATTCATTAGATTCATAAACAAAAACAAAAGAAAAATATTTGAATTTATTTTCCATAACTGGAAACTGATTGAGAATCGTGGGACACATCTTTCGAATCATCAGATACTTCTTCTTGCATGCGTCTCTTTGCGGCCCATTCCACAATGCAGAAGCAAATTGTACCAATTGTGCCAAATATCACCAAAATACCAAGTTGAGCTCGTAGTCCGAGATGGGATGAGTAAAAGAAGCTGACTGCAGCTGCCACTGACTAAAATTATAAAATAACGTTTCAATAATAAAATAATATAATTATTTTATTTTTTTTCCAACCTGTGTAAACTTAAAGAGCGCAAATGCACCGACGGAATTCTTAACAAAAACGCCACCCAACATTGAATATATTTGCGTGTTAAAGCAAGCATCGCCCAAACCCAATAAAAATGCACATATCAACGCAATCCAGGGACGTGGTGGGTCCAAATAAGAAATATCGTTTGTGTCCGTAAAAGGTGCAGAATTTGGTAGGTTCAAGAATATCAAAAAGAAAGCAATAAGGTGCACAATATAGCCAGCAATTACAATTGGATCTCGTCCAAAACGTGTTGTTTTTGGTCCCAAAATGCCGAAAAGTCCTCCACCAAATACTTCACCAGCACCAATACAAATACCGGCTAGACCCAAAATTTGCTTAGGAGATTCAGAAATTTTTTTTGTGAAGCCAATGGAAGGACCATATACGCCACTGAAGAATGATAATTCCAAGCCTAATAAAAAATAAAAAATAAATATTATTAATAAAATTTATATATAAAATTATATTTTAAATTAATATGTTACTTTATTAATTATCTAACCTGTGTATAAGAATGCTAAACTGAGCAGTAGCATATCCCGGGTCATAAATAGATTTGCTGCTGATTTTAATGCAAAAACAGCATTTGCGAGTCCAGTTTGTCTTTGTTGCATTTCAGTATCGGGTGAGGAATTATCTGCTACTGGACGCAAACTGGCTAAAAATACTATGCCAAGTATGGCGACACCGATTAATACGCTTATTACTAATTTACGTGTATCGGCATCAATGTGATCTTTATCCTGGAATTGAAAGTACACAAATAAGTTTCCGAAAAACATACTGCACTGCAGCAAAGCCCAAAAGACGCCAGAATTACGCGAAATATTTGCAGGATTACTGCAACGCGCTAAAAATGTGCCTTGACCAGTCCATGTAATGGAAGCACCAGCACCAAGTATTGCACTAGCAAAGTACAGTAACCAGGTGGATGGAAATAGGAAAATCACCATAAAAAGTCTGCAATTATTAAAGAAAATGAAATTTATTACACAATAATTTTTGTCACAGATAACGTTACACCTACGTGTATGTCAAAGCACCCAACAACATAGCAGTTCTGGGTCCAGTGAATGATATGAACGATGGCGCTAACCAATTGCATAAAGCAAATGAAGCATATATGACCGCCAAGCTTGTGTAACCATCTCCTTTGAAATTCTCATCATCATTGGCTATGCTGTCCAGTATTGTTTTCTGTAATCCAAAGAGTTTGCGATTAGTAATTATAAGCGTACGTAGTTAATATACTGAAAATTTCATAAAAATTAAGAGACAAAAAAATTTTTTAGGGCCTTAAGTAATTAGACAAGAGCAATAAAAAATAATATTACGAGTACTACATCACATTGTAAACCAAAATCATGGAATCCATAATGAATGAATTAAAAAAGTCCTAAACAAATTCACTCTTTGCCTCCGAATAATACTAAGGAATATCTTATAAACATAGGACTAAACCCCATTAGTTACGCGGACTTTTAGAATGTTACGTTTAAACAATTCTTCTACCTTATTTCACTGATACCAAATGTAGTATAAGACTTTCATGACTCGTTTAAATACATTTCTGTTGGAAGCTGTATGGTCGATAGTGTTTTTCAGGGTTTCTATTGACAGTTCTTGAGCAGCTACCGGGCTGCGCCATTATGACCAATCTCAAATCTCAAGGGACCAATCTCAATTGGACAAAGCAGCCAAAGCTATAGTCTTTAACCCCAGTAGTAGCAAATTCACACTTCCGTTCGCACGCACTCACTATCATTTATGCTCCAAATAATATCGAGTGCTATCTACTGTATTTTAGTCACTTCTTACGACAGGCTTGCCTTAGCACGTTAAGATTCTAATCGAAGAAGGAGAGGGATGACTATGATCAAGATAGATAGAGAATAATAGATAATAATAATAGATAATATAACAGTATTTAATACTCGAAGCACTTGGTTTCAGCGAATTTATATGGAGGCAACTATAAGTGGCTATAATCCACGTCCAAATTTGACAGATGATGTGGTTGCTCATTAAATGATTTTTTATTAGTGCATTTCGTAAACAGTATATATAAATTTTGTACTTGCAACAGATAACAGTTGTGTTTATTATATATACAATCAGTTTGGCACATTGTACAATGTATTCTATAATTTGAATTCAACAATGTGTAATGATTACTTGAGACACGTAGTTAGCGGAGGCTGAAGGGACTTGAGGGATTGAAAATCCCTGAAATCGATGTATGTACTATATTCATACTTGTGTATATATACACAATGAATATATTTATTTGTATTTATAATTGGTTCATGACTCTATGAGATAAAAATTTATTTTTAATTACTGAAATGATCGGACTAGATGAGATAGTCTATGAGTTAATTCCAAAATATTATAAATTTTATGGTCTGCTTTTAGGATCTGATTTTTCTATTTTCATATGTGTTATTTTAAGAGAAAATTTTCCGAAATCAAAATCAAGCTCAACTTAAGAGAATTTCTGATAAAACTGAATTAATGGTCTCTGCTATGCATGCTAATGACCGTTGATGATTTGCTGCTGTTTTGAGTTCATTTTCAAGTGCATGCACTCAACTTCCTCATTTATTTCAGCTTAAAAATCAATTTGAATATTAATGAGTGGCTAAATATAGAATCAAATCAATTTACATAGGGAAATATGTAATAATATTTACATACTAATATATATATGTATAGACAATATTAATTTTATAATAAATATAAATCAATCTAAATCGTAATTGAAGTAATTTAAATCCACGTGATTTTATGAATGTGAACAAAAATTAATTAGTTAACACTAATTCAAGAAGTAATCGTAGACACTAACAAATAACAAAATAAAATTATAAAAATATATGTAATTTTTTCTTTTCCGATATATTACATATCTAAATGCATATTACTATTGCTCATTAATATGAAGCCTAAATGGCACCTTTCCAACATATTATCGCTTCCGTGCAATCGAAAATAATCTATTGTACTATTGTTTCTTCTTATTGATACTCAGTATATTGTCAGAGTTATCTTTAAAAATGAAAGTATTATCTAGGAAGTAAAGAGATAGATAGATTCATGAACACTGATTTTGATTCATAATAGATTCAGAGCATAGTTAAAAAGTGGGGGACTAACAGTTTATTTTTGAGAAACCTGTTTTTCTAAGTACTACTATTCTAAGTATCGGTTTGTTGTAGTTATCTGATCTATGATAATCTATTATTTCTTTAGCTAGTTTTGCTTCAACACTACCTAAAGAAAGTGGCTGGAAAGAGCAGCTCAGACTGATTGGGATAATACAATTGCCTGCAGACAAGCCAAAGAATCCATGCCGTTTCTGGCACTGCGGAGTCAAAAAGCATCTATCGAATCTAGGTATTACTAGAGACGATAGCTGCAGACTTTGTTGCGAAGAAGAAGAAACAGCAGAACACATTTTGTGTCACTGTGATAGTCATGCCAGACTCAGACTTCGGTACTTATCCACTGCCTATCCGGATATAACGGAACTAGGCAACATCTCCCAAAAGGACATATTGACATACTTAACTGCTACTCGTCTATAGAACTGAAGTAGGCATGTCACAATAATTCTCAAAGGATGCAATGACGCGGTGACAAGTTTTCAACCCATTTTAAAAATCTGTGCTTCAACACATTTTTGAACTTACTGGTTAAAACGAACATAACATATACCTACACAATTTAGAAAATGAAGAGATAAAAAATATATAATTACCAGTCCTGTTGGGTAGTATGGATTAGGCCTTATTTTTTGTGAGAACTGTTTATATAAGCTAATCTTGCATATAGTAACCAAAATCATGTATAATCTTTTCAAACTTATATTTTAATTCGAGCACACTATCTAGGAAGTAAAGATATAAACATTCAATGGGCACCGACCATACTGGATGAAATGAACCTTAAGGTTAAGGATTAAGATATTTTTAGTGAAAACCGTTAATTGTAACACTTTCGACTAACAATTTGATATAGGTGGATGTTTTGATTTGTATAAAAGACGTCCAACACATTTTTAAAATTATATTTTAAGATTAATATATCAAACAGGAAATAAAGAGATAGGAAAGTTAAAGTTACTAATCATATTAGAGAAAATGGTAGTTTCGAAAGTAAAAAGTAAATTGAAGAGTTCTATTTTGCTATTATAAATTTCGTTTCTAATTATTATTTGTATAGAATAAACTAAATACTTTTTGATTTTAACTACTGGCGAATATTATAAATGATAATAATAAATAGCAGATCGTTAGATCTTTGGTCTTCTACGAGTTGACGACGACTACCGCATTAGAATGAACCACGAGTAGTACGCGAGCGTTATCACGACATTAATATAATTTAGTGCATTAACATCCAGCGTCTTCGCTGGCTTGGTCATGTCGTGAGAATGGATTAAGATGCTCTGGCGAAAAAGGTGTTTGAAGCAGTAGTTGGCGAAAGAAGACGTAGAGGTAGACCGTGTCTCCGGTGGAGTGATCAAGTTGATGGAGCACTAACTGGACTTGATGCGCCTGGGGAGCAGAGGCACGCAGCAGAGGCGCCTGGGGAGACATGCTGCGTCAGTTCGAAACTCGGAAATGGGTTGTTATGGCCAAATAAATAAGTAAGTAAGTAATAAATAGCAACTGGTTATGGTTACAGCCTATGCAGTTCCTCTCTTATTAAGCAAACTTGTTTGATTCGTCTACTCTACCAATAGTCCAACTGTGATAGTAATTGTTAAGAGTACTCGGTCTTTATTAACGATGGGCTCAAATACATAAACTCGACAGCTTTTGGAATGCTAACACCTGGTAAAACACTTCACTAGATCAATATTACGCACAGTCATTGCTAAATAGGTTTAGGGATATTTATTTATAACATTACAAAGATATTAAAGTATATAATACTTATATTAAATTTGATATAGTGTAAAAACCACTTAGCAAAGTTATTTACCAGAAAATATACCACCGAAAATTTACTTATTGAGGTAATAAAGTACATCATGTCACAATACCGAATAACTCATGATTTTTTGAAAATACTCTAAGTATTTCTGCTTTTCCACATTAAGGGTTAAAAAATGATCAGTATAATAAAACATGATTTTAAAAAAAATTTATGTAAATTATATATGTATAAGCCATCTATTTTACATATCTCAACGTATAGGTGATTAAACATTTATTACCATCGTTTACTGTCAATTAAAATACTTTAAAGTAATGCAGTGGTCAGATAAGTGTGATTTTATGGTGCCATAAAATATTAAACTGTTGCAAAATAAAATCTGGTTTGATTTTTTTAAATTCATATCATAAAACAAGAATTCAAGTCCAATGCCAAGAAAATATTGCAAATAAATTGAAATACCAATTAATGTTAAATTGTAACTACAAGGTTGATTGCACGAATGGAAAATTACTCTGGAGATTGAATTTAAAGTAACAAAAAACAAAATTGAATATCACTTTCAAATTGTTAAGAATTATAATTACATTTGTTAATTTTATATATAATTTTTTATAATATTAAACTTACAAGCAATATTCTTTTCAGTAATTAAATCAAGACTAGTCAAATAAGTCTACTCACTTCATAGTTGTTATTTATTTTTTAAAAAATTTCTTGTTTTAGGAAATTTATTAAAACCCATTTCGTATTATATTTGTATTCTTGTTAGGGTATGTGGCACTGCGACCGTCGGGTCTATTGTGCCCCCTTTAGGGTTTAGATTAGGTCTCTAAGCTCTGTTGCTTCAATAAAAATAGTATAGAATCTATTCTACAGAGTTTCATTGCCTCTTCCGTAAGAATATACATTCCCAGGAGCCTATTCCGTATGTGGATTAAAGCAGGCTGTTAGAACAGCACGTATATGGCCAATTCCTAATTCTCTTCACAGAAACTACAGTTTGTATCCGTAAGTATACCCAGTCTTGTAAGGTGGTGTTTTAGTTAACAGTGTCCTGTTAGGATGCCTGTGATGATTCTAAGTTTTTCTTTTAATAGGTTCATATAATCCTAGTATTTCTTATTGTTATAGGTACCAATAAGTGAGTTGGATTGTGTTAATCTCACTCAGTAACACTTTTTATTCTGGTTCTCCTTTCCTTTTAGTTTCTCCTTATATTTATATATAAATAACCTTTTTTTAGATAAATTTATATAAATTTATTTCAAAAATTTTATTAGTTATATTTTTAAAAACAACAATGTATTTAAAAACAATTCAATTGAATAATAAAATAAAAAAAAAATAATTCTAGCTAGCCATATGTGTAGAATACATATGTATAATGATACAATCGAATAATGATATCAGTCGATTATAGAATTTGCTTATGAAAATAAATTCTTATACCCATTTATTAATCAATCGAATTAATAATATCTAAATCAATTTAATCAAAATCTGAACTAAACATACATTAAAAATTGTTTATATTTATATAATGCAAAAAACTATCTTCTTGGTATTTTTATTCATCAATAAAATATAGTAGAAATCATTTTTTGATATGACATAATAATTATGTCACAAAACTTTTGACCCTACGTTTACATTATCACAATTAACCCGACATAATACGTCTGTTATGAATCAAAGACAGCAATAAATGCCATTTCATTTTATTTAATCCATCCTTACTTACGATAAATGTTAGTGTAAACATTATTCTTACGATGGCAACAGTCGAGTGGGCTAAATGAAGTCATGGTTAAAACATGAAGTCAGAGGTTCGAGTCTCAACCTAGCACAAGTTATTTTTCAAATATTGTAATTATAAATATTAAGAAAATGTTATAAGTTTACTTTTCAATAAATTCAGCAAATCAGTCAATAATAAATTCAGCAAATCAGTCAATAATAAATAAAACAGTTGTAATGGTAATAGTATATTTGATGCTTACTTTATTTATAAGATTGAAAAACAGCGAAATAAAAAACACCAAAATATTTAGTTCTTGTGGGTAAGGCCGTATAAACATCCTCTTGTTACGACACATCCAGAGATAAAATTCTAAGATATTATATTTTGATATAATCTAAAATTTACAATTCTAACACTTTACTTCAACCATAGGATACTATGACAATAGGATGCTAGGACATTTGAATATATAGTAATCCCCTCTATCGGTACCGTAGTAACGAGTTTTCATATTATGCGATTTCAATCCCCCGTATAATACGGGGCATTTGATTTAGGACATTTGAATATATAGTAATTCCCTCTATCGGTACCGTAGTAACGAGTTTTCATATTATACGATTTCAATCCCCCGTATAATACGGGCATTCTCCCAAATAACGCGGGAATTTCTACAGTTCATAATAGGCGGACGTTTGCACGCATGTATACGGGGTACGGTATACCCTATAACGCGTTTTCTGTATAATTACTGTAGTTATAAGCATAAATAAGTCCTAACACTCAATTAGCCTTTGTCACTAAAAAAACTTCTTTAGTTGTTAAGTATTATAATTGAATAAAAATAAGAATATTAACAAAAATGATTTAAAAAATAAGAAATATGTTATAGATGATAATCTAAATAAAATAAAAACTAATCAAACAGAAAAAAACGAAAGCGTGTATATTCTAAGCAAAAAGTACTTGGAATTAGAAATTTGAAAAATGAAAATAAATAATTATAATAAAAAATAAATAAAAAAAATAAATAAAAAAAGATAAAAAAAAATAAATAAATAAACAAAAATAAATAAAATATATAAATAAAAAATAAATAGAAAAAATAAATAAATAAATAAAAAATAAAAATTTAAACTTTGATTATTAATAGATTTTTTTCAGTGTTTTATTTAAAAGATCGGGATGTTCTTTACACACTAAATAAAAAATTAAATAAAAATAAATTTAAATATACATTTAGGGGTTTTTGCTAGGAATGAAAAAGTATATGAGAATTATAATTCTCATATGATGTTAACATTTTTTAATATTATAACATCACAAAGAGAAAATTAGACTTATTGTTAAGATTTGAATAGATTATTATTGAGAATACTAGTAGATTTTTACGCCACTTAATACCATTACTCGTTTTGTACTTTAGAAATATTTTGGTTGGAAAATAAATATTAAGATAATTATCTCAAACTTATCTTATGCTGAGAACTGCACACTTAACATTATTTTTAATGCAAATGAATACGCTTTTGCGGATATTCATTCACTGCATTATTATCTTGATGGATTGATTCATTAAAGTTAAAAATATGTGGGCGATAATAATTAATTGTATAAGGAAATATTTCTATTTCTAATATAGTGTTGAGTCCTTGTAAACTCTTTAAAAGCTTTTATAAAATAAATCGTTTAATTAAAAATTTAAATTTTATATACATATTTAAAAAAATGCTTTGTTTTGTTTTTCAAAATTTTGATATCTTAACATTTTATAGCCTAAATATACCAAAATAAATGTATTTGTATTATAAAACGTGTTGCTAATACTTATTTTGGCATTTTAAAATAAGTTAATGGGAACACCTTAACAGGTTTCTATATATAAAAAGATTTTATTTAAAACACGAGTTCATACAATAAATTTTATATAAAAAAGCACAAATCAAATTGAAATTAATGAATGGCGAATTATGTGACATTTTTGTCTATTTTATCTTGAATCTTTTTTATTATATGAAAAATAAAAGTGAAAGTTTTACCAAATAAAATTAGATATTTTAATTACTTACACAACATTTGTAGTTACCTTACATAAAATGATGAAATATTTTTGAAAATTGAATTATTTACCATTAACCAATAGTTAATTTCAATGTTTTTCCATAGAAGAATTTATGCCTTCAAATTTTATATGAAGACTTTAAAGCAGTGGTTTCCAACCTGTGGTCAGGTTGAAAATGATACTTGTAGTTTGTCCACTAAGACATCATTTATTAGAAAATCAGCACAAAAAATGTGTAAGTAATTATACACCTATTTTATAGTCTATATACTATGTCTATGTACTTATGCAATTCATTATACATTCATTATACCAGAGACGCATAAAGCATATTAAAACAATCATACAGTTTATTATTCTTAAGCTTTTTGGTCCCTACTAAAAACAAAAATATAGTGGTTATAATGTTAAGAACCACTGCTTTACATATTAACCTATAACATACTAATACTTTTTTAATTAAGTGAATAAATAATAAAGCTTCATAAATAACAAAACTTTTTATAACATAATTTGCTTATACCTATAACATAGTGATCACGTTGCAAATATCAATATCTACCACAATATCTATCTAAATGGATGATGAGAAGTATGAAGAGCCAGCAACTCTTACAAAATATCTAACTCTGCGACATGACAAAGGTACGACTACCAAGACATTAGCGAAGAAAACGAGGAAAGTAGTAGAACAAACATGTCTTGTAGATAACTTATGAGTGCCCCAAACAAATCAGATCTCTAGATCTCTATAATGGTGGGAAAAATGATGCAAAGAATTAGGATCTAAAAATATTGTAAGTGCAGCAAATAAAACTAAATCAAAAATGTTTTACATCAACAAGAATAAAAGGATATTTATAGAAACCAAATGGATTTCGATATATAACACAAATACTTTTAAAGAAATTATATTTATAAAAAATTCGATATAACGAAGGACTAAGTGAGCTCGTTATAGGTAAAACCACACTATTGTTAATTAAAAGCAAGATTGGAGGTGATCGATAAATCATGGATTCCAATATTCAAATAAAACTAAAATTGAAAATATGTAATGTTTCTAAAAATAATATAGGCCTAACACATGGAATGAGGTCTTTATGTAGACAGAACACTAGAAATAGGAGTCAGAAAATGGTAATAAAAACGAAAAATTAATAAAATCTAAAAACATTTATAAAGCAGACTTATATCCTTCAGAAACTATTATGTATTAAATGTTGTTAATAATTTAAAGATTTTTTAATTACTATAAACTGATCACTGGTTTTGTTACCTTTGTTATCTCTGTGATATATTTTGTGATTGTTATCTTTGTGATTTTAAGAGATATATGCCATTATATTCGAAACATTTCGAATTGTCAGTACTATCTCTAACAATACTGATAAAAAATTTTCTTAGAAATTATTAAAGTTTTATGTAGGTCTTACTTTATAAGTAAAATTAGACAAAATATATAATCCTATTAATATTTTATTATGCACACAACTACTAAACTATTTATATAAATTTGTTAGATTGTTAATGATAATTCGCATAGGAAATGTGAAAGTTCCATTCATAGTTTTCATGTCCTAATGTGAAAGCATTATGAACATATAAACATTTTTCCTCAACGTCACTACAAACATTTCTTAGTTAATATCAATAATAATTTATTTTTAGTTTTGTATATTTTATTTGATTGATTAGTCGTTAAAAAGTAGTAAAGGTGGTCGTTAATAGGTACATTCACGATACCTAATTTGTTGTCTGTAATACGTTTGAATATACGTTTCTAGATATACTCATATAATAAAGGTCGTCATTGAAAGGAGCGTTAATAAAACATAATTTTTGAAAATAGAAAATTCGCTTTAGTGATTATCAAAAAGACAAAAAAGTATTACTTTTATTCCATTATTTATATTCTTTATTACTGCCTTAATACTACTTCAATTAACGGGCATATTAATTTTGTCAGAAGGTTTGTAAAGTATTAAAAACACGTCTTAGAAATCATATAAATTATACTTATTTTTAATCAGTATAGCGAAATCAGTGATTCTGTCTATCTATCTAGATGTCAGCAATCTAGTCTCTGATTTGTTTTATTGGAATAGGTTGGAGGTATTGCTAAACAGAATTTCATTCTTTATTACGAATGATAACAGATGTGTTTTAACAATTATACAAACATTTACTTTTATATGAACTTATCTATGAAATTACTTTAATCACAACAGACTATACTTTCTTAATGATATGACCATGTTTTAGTAGGTCAATATATGTCGAATTCTCTCCAATTTTGATTGCAAATTCCTCATACTTTTGGGGGAAAATTTAGGTGTTTTTTAACCACCCGATCGATTTGATAAGTATTTAACAGATGTTTGTCTTGGAGACGTTATGCAGTTAATTGAAGAACGGTGTACCACATGTGCTTACGCCTAAACAATGTAATAACAGATGTTCCAGTTACTTTTCATGGAGCATCGATGAACACGATCTAGAAGCATCTAGTATATTGTGGGAACCTATATGTTATTAGATATTTATAGTATAACTTCTTTATGTTGATTTGTTTATATTTCTAGACTTGAAGAACGTGAATCATATCCCCTTCATTTGATTGATACATTAAGATTTAATCAATTCCAGTTGAGCTGTCTCAAAAAGTAATTATAGGCCGAATTTTCGTCTGTGACTGGCACAAATATAAATTGGTTATATGCAAGAGTACTAGTAATAGTTGTACAATTAAGTACTATTTGTAATAGTAAAAAATGCAAAGTAATAGTTTTAATGACACATTTAATATCCGTTAAATTCAGTGAACGATCGCTGATTTTGAGTCTACCCGTGTATATATTATTATTCTCCTTTGAACAAGTATTTTGGAACCCTACTTTCCATAGATTTTAGGTGAGCATTATTCCGTATTACAGTACAGCATATCGGGTGTTTTTCT